CAACGCCACGGCTCATGAGCATCAGAGCAAAGTCTTCTGCTCGTAAGATAGTGTACCACAGTTTGCCATTCTACAATTGCGATTCGAAAGTGCTAACACCTCATCACACGGCCGCAGTATTTTTATTTGTACGGAAATATATCACTTTTTAGCAGAGTGAAGTTAAAATGGTTGAATCCAGCTAGAATCGTGAATATTTGCCACCAATCATCAACGACGATGCGAAGTGGTCGGAAATGTTGTGGTAGATATATTTTGGACTCCAAATTTATATTAGGATAATTAAAAAGCTTGAATAGGTGCTGAGGTCTGAAGAAACTATGATATTTGAGCAGAATGCGTGTTTTCGACGTCCGGTAGAGCACGAGGCTGTTAGCGTCGCCCGGATGTTGGTCTGCTTGCTGATGACTCTCTTAGTAAGGCCAAAGATCAACTCCACAATACTTGCTTTACATTGTCTTTCATTTTCTCCATGTAATGTTTAGAGATTGCTACTACTCCAAGTTTGGTGAACGATGTGGTGGCTGTCGGAAGCCCATCACCGACGCATACATAACTGCACTGGAACAACCGTGGCACGAGGACTGTTTCAAATGCAAGGTGATTTAGGTTTCTTGAATGAAATAACTCTCACTCGAAGACACTTGATGACTGCGATCATTATAACCTACGCACAGGGTCTCAACAGCTTTTGACTCTTGAGAAACAGCAGATATCCAGCGAGTCTACGTGGTCAATTGTATTCTTTCTTTGAGGGCTGGGAACCAGACGCCTCAAAGTCAGTACGACGCAAAAGCAAATTGAAAGCTATAGGTTCCCTCGGATAACGCAAATACTACACCAAGAACCTTGAAGTGCATCAAACTGTACAGTCAGAATCTAGTGCATTGTGCCAATTTTCGTTTAAGAAAACACGCAAATCAAGTTAATACGACTGATGGAAATAGCTTGTAAAGGTCAATACCTAGTCATTTCGATCCATTATTCACAGGGCTGGTGTGCCAGTTTTAAGTGATATGTGATTGAAATCCCTTAATGACACTCGTTAAGACTTTCAATTTTCAGGGATATAGTAAATTAGCGTTTGGTTTTTCTAAAACTACCCTTTTATGCGTCTAGGATTGTGGAATAAAACTGACAGGTCGTAATTTCTATGCTGAGAATGGTTACCTCTACTGCGAGAAGCACCATCGTCGCAACTTAGGTATGGTGTGCGCGGCGTGCCAGGAGCCCATCTCAGGCAATAGGTGCATCAATGCTCTGGGCAATAGGTACCATCCACAACACTTTGTGTGCACCTACTGCTTGCGTCAGCTTAGCACCGGCACCTTCAAGGAACGCCTTGGCAAGCCCTATTGTGACTCCTGTTTTCGCCAACTCTTCGGCTGACCTCGCTCTGATCGTCTCTTTTCACCCACGAGGGCTTTCATACTCCTTGCCGCTACAATCTCTCTCCATCATCATGACATTTCTACTTACATTATATCAGTAGCAGTAATTTTTTGTTATGACATTTGCTGATGTTTTTTCTTATTGTACATGTTGATCTCGATCCCATCTGTATATTCCACCATTGCTTTTGCATTACTGTTTTAATAGATCCTCAAAGATATTTCTTTAGTCCTAGCTTAACATCGCTCGCAAGGGAATATTGCGCAATAGGCGATCCCAAAAACCCGGTCCACTGTTCAAATGTTCAGATTGGAATAAGAGAAAACAAACCATTGTTCACGTCACCGGGAGCAATGTAAGACACGGTAAGATCACCAGAAAGTGCTTTTTAAAAGTAGGTAGATAAGTTTAAAAGGCGAATTACCTAAGATAGAAGACAAGCGGAAGAGGAAAATGGACATACTGATGTGCCAAACAATTGCTGTGACAAATTATGGAGTTCATTAAGCAGTTCCCCAAATAGAGGATTGTCAATGCTAATAAACTAACCTGTAGCAGTTTTATTAAACAGGCTCTTAAGGGGGCAAAACAACACATTACCCCAACGATAAGGTTTCTCACATTTCACATGATTAAATCCTTCTAATGTTTGGGAACTCTCATACCTTCGTTGACGGTTGCGTAGATACACTGATTTGTAATGCGTGTAATGCTGGAACTCTCCTTACCTGCGAAGCAAAATAAGTGGAGGAATGGTTCTCACATTACGGCTCATGGATGCCTCAGCTCCCTAGCAGGTCTTCAAGAAGTCGCTTATAGCAAACGTTAAGCTTAAGCATATTAAGCTAGACAACACTTATCTGAAAACCTCATCGAATAATAAAAAAAATTTTGAAGCGAAGGCACTCCTTTGTTAAAGTAAACAACTGATGTCGTGCGCTAATTTAAAAACTTATTTGATCATTGCTTTCCAGTAGTAAAAAACCTCTTTAAGTTAACAGATTAGGTGAAAGGAAAACAGTAGAACACTTTGTATCTGGCCGCATATCAAAA